TATATTTAGATATTATAGACATTATTTATTAATATATGCCTATATATATTAGATAGTTGTCATATATATAATATATATAATGATAGATAAAAGTCTCCTTGGCTTTTATGATAGTGGCCTTCGCAGCTCTGGTCTCTGTAGATGAGTCGAGAAAACCCATTACATAGCTTCCAAGACTCAAAGGGAATCTGTGCTCCACAGTGAAGAGATTCTGTTGTATGCAGAAAAGTCAATACTTATCCGGAACTAACATAATGCCCAGAGCAGCAAAAGTTACACTAAACTACACAGGGACTGTATTTTGCTAGACACCTCCTACTACAGACTCTGTCCATGAAGTACAGAATTTGTGAGGGAGATATTTAAAGAGGAGAGTACTCTGGGCTTCATGAGTATTCCTGAAGCTCTGTTTGTGTGTGACCATTTACTTACGGCAGGGCCGCTTTCACCTCTGTTTCCGCGGGGGCCAGGAGGACCAATTGGACCTGGGTAGCCACTTGTACCATCTTTTCCAGGTGGCCCAGCTGGTCCTGGGGGACCCTAGAACAATGATGAACACAAATAATATGGTCAAAATAGTTCATCAGATAATGTCAGATTCAGAAATACTTTGTGAGCTATCATCTCAAATGTTGCTGTATGGTTTATCAGGTGTTTACTCTTCCTTCAGCTGTCTGTTAAGTTGGCCTGTTATAGTCTGAATTTTCCTTCTAGTTAGGCTAACTGATGAATTTTTCTTACCCTTGCACCTGAAGCTCCTGGACTTCCAATTGCACCTTGTGGACCCAGGGGACCCTATGAAGAAAAGAAAAATCAGTCATACACCTCCTGGTAATATTTTGGAACTAGGTGGACATACCTTAAGTAAAGACATTGAAAATATTTTCAAGATTATATGAAACACATCTTTATAAGAAGACTATGTTATATATGAGAGAGAATGGCTGACATTCTTTAACTAGAAACAAATATTGAATATTCCCTATGTGATAAAAATATCAGTGATATGATATCCAAAATTCAAGAAAGCCAATAGGCACCAATGAGCTTTGGATGGAATCTTGTGTTCACAAGAATATTCAGCTATAGGCTCAAAATGCTGCAGTTTTAATAATATTACCAGTAATGTTATTTAAATAATTTGACAAACATGTTTTCAAATACATTTACAAATCAGTTCTATGTATATACTGCAAAGAACTAAGCCATCTGTTTAAAAATTACTGGTCATCTCACTGGCATAGTGTAAATGAGAATTTATCAGATTATTTTTTTCTCATGTTAGACCAGAAGTTATATTGCGTTGTTAAATAGGTTGGTATTGCTGCCACCTTTGGTAGATTGAGTTTAATTGCGAGTGCAATTAATCATTTTTTTTAGTACAAATACCTTTCTTGATTATTACTTGTCATAAATATCTATGGCATGCCTGTCTATTCTTGCCCTTCAATTCTTTCAGCTATGAAGAACTGTTCAAAATGGCAATGCATGTTTGCAATTAAGTAGTTTGCCCTAATACAAATTACTATAAAATAAACATGGCAGAAGATAGGTATTTGGACTCTGAGAAGCTTTTGTTGTCTGCCTACCTTAGATTTCTAATAGAAACAGATACTTCAACCCCTACTTCTGTCTTTTCTAATTTAATCAGGAAGAGCCTATATAAATGAATGCAAGAAGTGTTTGTTGAAAGGGGTTATAGTAACACTTCTTTACCTCCTAGCAGCTTCTACCAGTTCTCTATTAACATGTATTTCAGGTTGATTCAGGGAATCTGGACTTTGGAACACATTTGACAATCAAACTGCAGATGTTCTTTTTTTTTTTTCTTTCCTCACTCAATTAGTTAAGTTAACTAGGTACCTGGCACCTAAACATAGAAACTAAGAACAGCTGTAATTCCGAATCCAATGCTAAATACTCACAGGAGGACCAGGAAGGCCAGGAGTACCAGGAAACCCTCTATGACCCTTTATGCCATTGCTGCCTCGTTCACCAGTTTCACCTTTATCCCCACGAGGACCTTGAGGACCCTGTAAAAGTAGATTTGCAATAAAAGAAAGATATAAGGAAATATGAGCAATGCCCAAAGAACAAGAAATAGTGAGTGAATGGATGATAGCACAAATACTTTAAATATGACTTACAGCAGGACCACGAGCACCAGTAGGACCAGTAGAGCCAGGAGGGCCAGGTGGACCCTGTGACATGATAAGAATAAGATGGTATGGATCACTTAGAGCTGCCTAGACCACCTTTTTATTTCCAGATAAGCAGTATGTTCAAAGCCAGCAGCTATTTGGAAACAAGGGGAAGCTACACATACATACACCATAACCAAGAAGTGTCTTCTCCAGACCCTTTTTCTACCAATGTCAGCCTTATGCAGCTGCTTTGTAGGCAGTGATGTGTACCACATGCACTAGACACCTTCTTCATGTTGTGAGGTGCTCAGTGCTCAAGCTGCTGATCAGCACTTGTGAGAAATAACTTGAAGGCTTCCCAAGTTACCCCCTTAGTTGAAATAAATAGCATTGCTTGTGCTGCATGAGCACCAGATGGGATGGAAACTAAGACAGAGCCTGGTGGGATGATGTGCTTTTTGGCATCCTATGGAGTATGTGAATTTTGTGCTTAATTGCTATACAGTCATCAGGACTATAAACTGAGATGTCTTTCCCCTTAATAAAAGAGGTCCTTGATGCCAAGAAACTATGACAGTAACAAATGTATGACTCTTCAAAACTTCCTCTTTATTACTGCAGAAGTGGACTTTGCATAGGAAAGGGATGTAAATTAGCAGCAAGATGTTTACTTCAGCCTTACCTGAAATCCTCTTTCCCCAGATTTTCCAGGTGCTCCAGCATTACCTGCAGGTCCAGGGTGACCAGGGGGGCCTGGAGGGCCAGGAGAGCCACTTTCACCACGATCACCCTGCAGATAGGAATAGTTGACAGGATAATGAATGCAATGTTTTACAGAACTCAATATAAAGAGTATATTCAGTGTAACATAACTGGTTCATGGAACAAATTACACAGCACAGAACCACGTATATTGTCATGTAGTTCATGTGTCACTTATGTGGCATTCTAAGGATATTGGTGATTTCTTACTTTGCCTCCTGGGGATCCATCACGTCCAGGCAAGCCATCTGAGCCAGGGTTACCCTGCAAAAGAGTGGTACAGTTTGTTCATAAATAATAGACAGTTTGTTTCCCACTAAGCTCCAATAATACTCATCAAAGAAAGAGTTTGGAAAAAGGAAGAGTTCCTGAAAGTGGAGTGGCCCCTAAAAGGCCTGTAAGACCAGCATTATTTTGTAGGCATACAGGCAGTGCAATCTCTTGTTTGGTTCCAAGAGAGACAGGTGAGGTCCACAGGCAGTAAAGGGGATACCAGAGACAGCAGGCTACACCACCTCATATGAGAGCATAGTCTGAACAGAGCCCTGTGCATCAGGCACTTGGGGGAGGCTTGGTGAGCCTTGAAGCATATTTACTCCCAGTCTCCCATTTGTCACTCACAAACTATCAGGAAATAATCACATCCACTCACATCTCTGCCAGGCTCTCCAGGTAAGCCTCTTTGTCCCATAGGGCCCTGGGGACCAGGAGAACCACGTTCTCCTGGTATGCCATTGGAGCCTGGTTTACCATCTTCACCCTGAACAAGAAGGGAAAGGATTTAGTTGCAGATAATGTACTTATGAAATACCAGTGTATTATGCATCTAATGAACTATGCAGTGATTTTGAATGAGACATAGTAAAGTGATGGGCCAGTGTGGCTTTGGTGATTGCAAATATTCAAGAAATAAAAATTTGCTCAAACTGATTTCTTTTTATTGCTGGTAATATTCATGCAAAGCCACTGAACTCAAGGAATGTTCCTTATTATTTTGTCAACTAAGAAGTAGTAAGTGGGTAAGTCTCTTCGTATGTGGCCAAAACCAACAGCTAAAGCAGTTAACAAAAAAATAATGGTCTATCACTCTTATTAGTGATAAAGTACAAACCAAGCCTCACACTACCTTTTCTGAAGGGATACGAGAGTATTCTTCTGTTTGGGTCATAATATTTAATCAAGAAACGTATCCTGGATTAAACAAAGATAAACAACTTGCAGTGGGTGAGACTATGACTTGGATAAGGCTGGTTATATATGTCTAGATAATCTGATATGGAAGTCCTGCTAATAGTCATTACAGAGAATTTCACATCCTACAGCTGCTGGTTCCCAGAGAGTCTAAAGCCTGAGCTTATGGATATAAACACAAATAATTGCAAATTTTCTAGTCTTGACTTAAAAGCATGAAACATTCCTCCCTGCCACTGCCAACATGTTCATTCCTTTGTATCTCTAAGCTGTTTTAGCAGTTGGGTTAGCACTGAGGCTGCTGCTGCAGGGAGTGGCTCTCACCTTGGCACCTGCAATGCCGGGTGGGCCGATCGGGCCACGCTGACCAGGCAGCCCTGTGCTACCACGACTGCCAACAATGCCTTGAGGACCTGCTTGACCTGGTGCTCCCTGTTTGAGGAAAGATCAGATCAATAAATATGAGCATCTTTGACATTCCATAGGTGGCTGTTTACTCTTGACAGGCTTAAGCTGGGTCAGTTGGTGTGACAGTCCCTGCTGAAGGTGTACTTACCGTTTCTCCGCGTGCGCCTGGTGGTCCTTTCTCACCTGGTGCACCAGGCTCACCTCTGATTCCAGCAGGGCCCGGGGAACCAGGAGAGCCAGCACTGCCAGGGGGACCAGGAGGCCCATCCTTGCCTGCAGGTCCTGCATTCCCAGGGGGGCCTGGACTACCCTACAAAGAATTTTAAAAGGAAGAGTGTGAGCTGTGTTACCTGAAGCAGCCAAACAGGCATGCTGGCATTGGTCTTGCCTCAGGAAAGTCAGCCAGGCTTGGGGCATTGCCTGAAGGCAGATTTAGGGCCCAGACTTTGTGCATTCAAATCTGATCTGGTGTTGTAAGAGAATCCTTTTATGTATCACTTTCAAAACTGGTATTTTTCATCCCTCCTGTCAGGATATACAGTTTGCACAATGTAACATCTGCAAGTTTTGGATGCCCAGTGGCTATAATGCATCCAGCACAGGATATTTGTTCCTTACCCATTACCAGTTCAAGACCCTGAATTGAGCTTTTCTTCCATCATTAAAGAGCAAGAGACAAGACAGGATGTCTGCACCAACTGAAATGCACCAGGACCTGGTGTGGGAGAGAGACTACACTAACTCTAACTGGTTTTGGAAAGGAAGAGAATCAAGGCAGTAAATGAAGTGAATAATTTGCTATTCCAAATGATAAGGCGAGTAAACTCTCTTTTGCAGATTTTTTTCCCCAAGTCTAAACATCGCATTCAGAATTCTTTTGCATTTTTAAATATATTAATATACATCTAAATATACCCACAAAGTAAGAATTAAAGGAAGATAATTTATTTACATTGCTACCAGGGGGACCAGGCGGACCACGTGCACCAGGGAAACCAGCAGCACCCTGTGAGAGATCAATGAGATCAATCCTTTTAGTTGTCATTTTCTGAAGACTGGAAAAACAGTAACAAATTGATTTTTATTCACTGTCTGACTTTAATTATAGTTAGCTGTTTTGCTTGAAACTGGAACTGAACAAAAAGTTCATCATTTTCTGGGGTATTTTTTTGCAAGCAAGGGTCACACGTGTTCCTTAAAGGTGAGCTAATAGGCTCTGAGAAACTTGGCAAAGATGGCAAGTAAATATAATAACTGTTGAGATAAGCCATTTTAGAGCTTTGGGTCATTGTGCCAAGAGCTATTTTGACACCTTACTTACATTAAAATCCATGTAATCCAAATCACTAAACACCTCAACTTAATTACTCCTTCTTGAACACTTTAATTATTCTTGAACTACAGATACTGAAGTCATTAGAAGGTCTTGTTTTTAATTTACATCACATTTGTTGGAATAGATAGAGGCATTTAGCAGTGACTAAATCAAAGATATACTCACAGGGCCTCCAGGAGTTCCACGGTCTCCTTTTATTCCTTGGGGACCAGGTGGACCCTACATGGAAGGAAACAGATAAAGCAAATGATTTGATAAAGATTAAAATTAGAGGAAGTGCCAGTAAGTCAGAAGCAGTTCACATGCTTGCACTTGGGTCCAGCCACCTTGAGGCTGAGGGAGGCCTCTCAATAAGGAGCAATAAAGAACAGCAGAGACTTACTGGTGCACCAGGACCACCTTGTGGACCTGCAGCTCCAGGGGGTCCAGCTTCTCCTCTCAGACCAGGTGGGCCTCTTTCTCCTTTCCCACCGGGTTCCCCATTTTGGCCCTGTAGAAAAATTGTATTGTTATGACTCAAAAAATGCAGATGATACAATGTGGTGAGAAACCCTGTAAAGATACTCTTCTGAAAAGGATTTAAATATTAAATTTAACGTGAATACAGTTGAATTATATTGGTCTGCTAGTACATCAAGAGAAGGATGAAGAAATGTTGCTCTATGTGTGACTGAGTACAGAAGGAGTAGCACACTTACTGGAGCTCCAGGGAAGCCAGCAGGGCCAGGAAGACCTTGTTCTCCTCGTTCACCCTGTTAGAAAACAACATGTCAGCAATGGAAGATGTTAGAAAGATAAGCTTCCCTTTACAGGTTAGAGAACACTCCTGTTGTTGCTGCTGAAGTTTCCTTGTCTCATCAGCCTTTGGAGGAAAAAAACCTCACTTGACCCAGAACAGTAGTTGCTCCTGAACACTAAAAATAACTGCTCAGGAGTTATCTGATAATTATCTAAAGTGTGCCAAACTTATCTCAGTTACATACAGTAATATAAACCCTGAGCACTGAGATCCCAAGATGCTGTTTTATCAATCTAAAAAAAAGAAATATAAGAATATTTTAAAAAGTTTACTTAGCTGTTAAACATATGGAAACATATGTTTAACACACTCTTGTCCTGATCTACCACCACAGCCCTCCAATCACTTTGCACTGTTGAAAGCATTGATTTCTGAAGGCTTTAGTACCTATAAATTCTAAGAGTCAACAGGAGCTGAGTGTGCTTAGTTTAGTTACGGCTTAAGCCACATGTGTTCCTGATAGGGTGGGTGCAGCACTACACTAGGCTAGACAAGCTATGATAAAGTCATACTGGAAGAAAAGTAGTACCACTTACAGGACCTCCACGGGAACCCATTGGGCCTGGGGCACCTGCTGGGCCAGTCTCTCCCTGTAAGGAGCAAGGGTGATTACTGGGTGTTTGTCTTTTTCCCTTGAGACAGCCATCAGTGAGACTCTTTACAGTACCAAGTGTCATTACAAAGGATGCTTTACCTTATCTCCAGGTGGGCCAGCAGGACCAGGAGGACCAATGGGACCTACATTGCCCTAAACAAAGAAAAAAGAGTATATTATTTATGAAAATATGACAATGTTACCTTCTCTGTTTTGATTAATTGCATTTATGTTTCAGTGTAAGAAGATTGCTGAAGATAGTTAACTGAAGCATGTGTACACTGCAGGAGTGCTGCTGCACACTATATTTTGGAGTGACACTCTGAAATCACAGCATTTTCTTTTTCCCACCATCTAAATATAATCCAAGCCCACCTGAATTTAACAAGTCTCTTTCAATGAGATACAGTAAGTTACCTGTTGCCCTAACTTTTCATATAATTGATCCATATTTCCTCAGTATATATTAAACACCTCTTAACCAGCTTCCTGACTTTTTTCTTTTGTGAGAACTCAATGCATACCTTATGTTTGGAAATAGATTGTTTATATTTCCTCCAACTCAACCAAGCTGCATTTGTACATTTGTCATCCCTCATTTTGTTGGTGTATATACTGCTTGCAGGTACTGATTTGATATATGTACACATTTCAAGTGTCTATTTTATGTGTATATGCTATATAGATGTATAAATTTATCATATGTAGTAACCTGAGGAAGTGTTCTGTATGAGAATATTTACTATCATGATGCCTTTTTGTGATTCACTGTAACACACATTTTCCTCATCGGTCAGCTGGACGTAGGAAGCTAATAACATTTTCTCTACTGTTGTGCTTCACAGACTGCTTTCCCTCCAAAACATTATCCCACTTCACTGTAATCTTCTGCTTGCAAAAAATTCCATTATATTTACCCAAGCAGCAATAAGCACAAAAAATAATATTAAGTCAAATTTAGTTTACAAAACCAGATTTGTGGTACTGGAAGGAAACACAATGGGATTACTACTTTCCCTCTCCTAGACAGTATGTTTTCACTGTAAATTTACTCATGTTCTAAGTGCAGATTATGTGAAGCTAATTGATAAACTGTTGGATGTTTAAAGGTTGCTCACTCTCTCTCCTCTTGCTCCAGGAAGGCCATCAGCACCTTTGCCACCAGGTTCTCCCTAGGAAGTGTCAGACATAAAAAGCATAAGCAAACAGCAAGCATGAGATGAGCATATGGTGGAGGGAAAAGGACTTCATACTGAGGGTCTCTCAATAACCAGGTTTCCTTGTTGAGCTAATACAACTCTAATATGGGGTATGGCATCCTGTCCAGAATTCAGCATCAGTTATTATATACTTTGATGGAAAAAAAACCCAAGCTTGAATGAAAATGAAGTCTATGCCAAACTGTTTGCCCATGGTATGAACTATTCTCATTGTTTATGAGCTTCATTAGAACTGGTTTTTTCCCCCAAGAGATCTAGCACAGCAAAGTGTCTTAGCATACATTAAGCCAGGGGAAAATCCTATTTTTAACATATAGGGCCCAATTCATTTTGTTAAGTCACAGGTGCTACACAATTTGTATCTCTGAAATCAGGCCACAAGGGAAGGTGTGAACAAACCCGGTGCCTTCTGGGAAGCTAACACTGAATTGGCATAAACGTGGCAGTGTGTATATGTTACCCTCTCTCCTTTGGGTCCAGGACTTCCAGAAGGTCCTCTTTCCCCTGGCATTCCCTGTAAGCCAGGCAGGCCTGTGCCTCCAGCAGCACCAGGTGGTCCAGGAGGCCCCTAAGGAGTAACAAAAAATAATTAGAAAGACCAAAATTGACCTGAATGCTAGACACAATAGCAGGAAAGCAAGAAAGTCCATGGGTACCTTGGCACCTTCTGAGCCAGCAGGACCTGGCCCCCCTCTTGTTCCAGGAGGTCCTGGAGGACCCTGTGCACCACGTTCTCCTGGGATACCGTTTTCACCCTGTGACAAAGAAATGTGTTATTCTTTGGTTTCAGGTTCATACTTTACTATTTCATTCATGTAATTACAGAAAAGTTGCTTTATTATTTACCTTAGGGCCTGGGAATCCTGGTCCTCCAACATCACCTTTTGGCCCCTGGTTATGAGAAAATAGATGTAAACTGTGCACTTTACTTACTAAATCTGCATTGTGGTTGGCATTGTTTCTCTTCCCTCTCATCCCTAAAATCAGACTTCTCTGCTTCTCTGCTCTGCTCTGCAGAGAGCAGAGAGCTGTCTGAATTTAGAAATGCAATATAAGAAGAATTTCTCATTAATTTTTTGTTACTTAGAAAACCAGAATTACTACTTACTGGTTCTCCAGGCTTTCCATTTTCTCCAGCTGGTCCTGGCCCACCAGGCAATCCCTATACAGAGGAACAGTATTAACCATGTTACATAGATAAATTATGCTTTTTCCTGTCTTGATAATCTTTTTGACACAAAGATGTGTACCCAGCTCACACCCATACCTTTACAAAAAAGGAGATGTCAATTTGATAGCTAAGGGTTTTAGGTGACACAATCTAAGCTAACCACCTGGTTTGCAACTGTGATTGACAGATGACTTTTGTCAAGTGGTTGACCTGCCTTACTTCAAAATATGATGGCATGCACCCTAATGGAAATGTTTCGGTGCCCTTAATATTTATTTATTTATTTCATGTGTTAGTCTATTAAAGAGTCAGAAAGCAATAACCACACAGCACCTGGAGGCCAGGTGGGCCTGCTGGTCCTGGTTCTCCTCTCTCCCCAGAAGCACCCTAGAATCAAACAAATGAGGGAAAAAAAGCTGTGAAAATACCTGAGAGCATTTCAACATATAAACACCACCACACGACCTCTAATCTATGCTTCCATATCATGATCTGATGAAGACACTGCACAATCCCAAAGGCTAATGTATCTTGGTGTTCTGGTATCTGCTCTTTTCACTCCAACTGTTAGATGTGATTCAGCAGGCAGATTTTTACTTGATAGTACTCTGAAATGCCATAAACATTAAAGGGAACAACAATATGTTTTGGTAGATCCCCAAGAGCTCTAAATTAACTCTTCATTTTAATCTATACCAGGCATACCTGACTCAAGTTTCTCCTAGCAAAGTTCTGAGTATTAATTCACTAAAATAGTGGCAAAGAAGAGCTCTTTTATTTGTCTTCATAAAAGAAGATTTCTTTATATAATTAAAAATATTTTCCTTCCTCTAAATGCACAATGCCTATCTGTAGACACCAAACCCCCTTGGCAATAACTGATCATTGCCTCATATGGGACCAACACACTTACAGTAGGTCCTGGAGGACCAGGGAGGCCAACATCACCGTTCTTCCCAGCAGGACCCTGAACAAAGACAAAATTAGGCTATGGTTAGGTGTTCATAACATTTTTATAAGGCTCACCAAATTATTATTAATTTATATGTCATTATTAAGTTATCATATTATGAAACAAAATGTTAGTAACACTTACAGGTGTTCCAGGTGGTCCACCAGGGCCTCTTTCTCCGTTTTTTCCTGGTGCACCCTTACAAGAGAGAAAGATCACATGTGAAATACTTGTTCTGGTCAGTAGACAAGACTCTGAAGCTGCAGCATGAGACTGCATTTGATTGATCAAGCATCAGGGAGAAATCCCACTCACCTCATTGCCCTTAGGACCAGGGAAACCCATTACACCTGGTTGGCCACGTGGGCCTGCAGGGCCAGGCGGACCAGAGCGGCCAGTTTCCCCCTGGTTGCCCTGGGATAGACAAGAAATAAATGAAGACATGTGCTAGATGAAATACAGTAATATCCATGAGTCACTGAACAGAGACAAGGGTGAGACATTCAAAACTTATTGCACATTTTGCATTTCAGCTAATATTATTCAATTAATCAATTATTCAATTAATGTGACTGTGTTAACAAGCTGTCCTGTAGTTACTGTGGGGTAAGGTCAGTAGGGTTAGGGTTAGGGTTAGGGTTAGGGTTTGAATGTGAAACATTTGCACAGTGTACATACAGGAGGGCCAGGTTTCCCGTCGCTTCCGGGGCTTCCTGGAATTCCAGGCAAACCCTGCAATTGGAGAAAAGAAAGGGTTATACTTGCATTTAAAATGGATAGTATTAAGTTGCAACACATAAAAAAAAATATATAAAACCCACTTGTTTGATTTCATCCTCTTTAACACAGACTAAAGTCCTCTCATTTCCCCCATTCCACGAAGGAGGAAAAACGGAGAAAGTTAACAAATTCTTTCATTATGGGTTTGTTGCTTTTTCTGAGCGTCAATATATACAAACAAGACATGGGACATTAATCAACAAGCACAAAAATTGTGTTCTTTCATTTTTTGGGAAGAACACTAATTTCAGATGGTAAAAATCAAGGAATGTAACAATTCTGATTATGTTCCTCTACCTAAAGGTAACACAATTTGTAATATTTTTTTGCTAACTTGTTTATATTCCCAGATATTATTTTTGTTGTAATTCAGATAATTTACTTTGATTTGATACAATCTTGTTTAGCTCCCAGAAGCCTGCAGTTGGACTTCTGAATTTCAATATATTTGCTGCCAGCAGCTGCTAACTCTTAGTACAGCTCACAGGATGTTGTTCCATTACAATCTGCTGGTATTATGCAACAGGCCATCTCTCAAAATCTTCCTGATACCTACTATGAAAATCTGACCAACGGCTTATTTGCTTTAATTGCAAATAAGCAGTAAATATAATACTAAACTATACTGAAATATATAAACCAATGCATAATTTAATTATTTAAACACTAAAGGCTATTTAAATCTAAAGTCTATTTAATGGTTGGACTTGATGATCAGAGAGGTCTCTTCCAACCTTCATGATTCTATGATTCTCAATAATAATTAAAATATAAATATATTTAAATAACCCCCCCAAATACCTATTAAATATAATAAAGACAATTAATTTTGTGATAAATGCTAGAATTTGGTAAAATGAAAAAGTCGATTTAGAAAATGACCCAATGCCGATTCCCATTAAAGCTGTATCTCACGACAGTCCATGGCATGCTCTGAGAGCTGGGGAGTATGTTCAGCTTCACCAAAGCTTCCTCATTCCTTTACCAGGTGTTCTGGGAACATCCCATGTCTCTGCAAGGCTACCTATCACACTATCAAGAGACCTACTCTTAAGGAATTAGAAACAGATGTACTTAAGGAATTCATAGACAATGTTTCCAATTGGACTTCTCTATGGTATCTGTTCAGATGAGTCATCTCTAATAGAGCCTATCCAATTTTCTTGGAGATGTCCTGTCTTACTCTCAATCCAGGAAGACCTGGGCCTCCATCTTGTCCACGCTCCCCTGCGGGTCCACTGGGGCCAGGGGGCCCTGGGCTGCCACGCTCGCCTGCAGGACCCTAAAAGAGATGTTGAGGTTCACGGCAAGGAAATGAGCATCAGATTGAATCTGAATCTGTCCATTCAAATTCATATGGATTCTCCAAAAGTCTGGAGGTTTTTTGGAGGAAGATTTATACCTTTTCACCTGGAAGTCCATTGCTGCCGGGTAAGCCACGGAAACCTGGAGAGCCCTGCCAAGTGAAAGAACCAAATATGGACCACAGACAATGGCAATGGCAACTGGGGTTTTTCTTCTGAACTATTTACCATTAGACATATTATTATGAAAATTAATGAAAATAAAAAAGATGGAAATGACATTTCACTGTATTAAGAAGGACTACAGACTATTTTCTCTTTGGTTATAACACTCCTGTTGAAATCATACTCTGGCCTCCATTGGTTTTAACTGGCCCTACATCATTATTTATGAGTTTTCTAAAGTAATATAAAAGCCCCATCACATTCAGTATTTTCCTATAATTCAATACTGAAAAGAGCTCTATTGTATTGATTTAATATTTATATTTACTACTATTCTTCATTGCTTATAAGAAATTTGAACAATAAAATTTAATTTGCAGCCCCATTTATATATTTAGTGTGAGTAATTTGTTCACTGTAAAGCTTTGGTTTCCTCATACCTTCTGCAAATCTTGCAATCAATTATTACGTTGGGAGTTATAAACAGATCAGCACAATTTACTTTGGTTCCGAGTGGGATAGAAATACAAAATTTGTAGTGATGTTGCTATTTATTTTGTTGCATACATCAATTCAGGGATCCCTTTGTGAGAATGGTATTTGGAAAGTTATTGAATCTACTAGCCAAAAAACCTGTTGGCAATAAAGATCTTATAATGTGGAAGACATCCTGACAATATTGTTATTGACATTTAAGATGTATTGACAACAGACATGCTGACATATCTTGAATGTAGAAGAATTAATATTAATTTCACTTGCCAGAGCAGACATTTTTGTGATTGTTTATTTTTTCTAACTGAGAAGTAATTATCGTATTTGTTTACTCCCCCTTGGAGTTCTCAAGTGTTCATAGTTGCTTTTCAGCACAAAGCTTTTGGTGCAACTTATAGGTATATAAGATCACTGCTTCTTCAATATCAAAACCTGAAATAAATTAATTTCAGACTGACATCCAAGCACTACAGTCCAGAGAAGAATCTAGATAAGATTTCTCCCCAGTTTCGTGACCCAATTTCACATCTGGAATTTGATAAGAAGAGGTTTGGAGCCAGATTTCTCCTGAAAGTATTTCTAACACCAGAATTTGCTGTTTCTGTCTGAACTCCAAAGGTACCTCCTGTGTGTGCTCATCTAGAGAAGCTCACCCTCTCTCCAGGTGTTCCAGGTATGCCGTTCTGGCCAGGTTCACCATTGGCACCTCTCTTGCCTTCTTCACCAGGAGGTCCAGGAGCACCTGGGGTGCCATTTTCACCCTGACAACAACAAAAACCAAGCCCACCAGTGAAGTTAGAAGTCTCCCAAAAAACCAAATGGGTTTTGTGTGGGGAATGGTTCAGGGTTCAGAATTCCTTGGAAGAAGCCTCTGAATGCATTTTAAAATGACTCACCCGCTCTCCTTTTGGGCCTGGTTCTCCTTTTGCACCATCCTTACCAGGGTCTCCCTAAGAAGGAGAAAATCCTGTTGAATTACAGGTTGCAACAGAGTATCATTCTAGAGCTACTAGATGTACTAAAATTGTAGAAAGTAGAAATGGTATCTTTCAAATTATTGACTCATTTTCATTATTTTACATTCTGTGAAGGAATTAGCATGCACTGGCTGAACCTGGGTGTGGGATGCATGGGGTTCTTTAAATGCCCAGTGGAGGAGAGAAGTGATACAACATCAAACACCACTGAATAAAATTTTATGTCTGTTTCTGAGCTATTTCAGACATCATTAAGTCTTCTGCTTGAAGTCCCTGACTATCTTCTCTGACAAAGGACTACATATGGTGTAAGGCTGTCAGTGTGGCCTGCTGGGGTAAATGACAGTGTAAGGGTAAGTACAACTCACTATGTATAGTGTACTGTGGACTCAGCCCATAGGGATTTAAATAGGCGAAATTAGGATTGTAAAATAACAGATTCTGTCTAACAGCCATTTTAGACAAGCTGTATCTTTGTTGGGAGTTTCTGAATGGATAGATCATTCAGGAAAAGAAGTATTATTATCATATTTTTATATATAGCAATACCTAAATGTGTGAAAGATAAATATATATTTATAAAATATTTGCCTATTTTCATTATAAGATCATTTATTAGACGATTTCAAGTGAATAGGAGAAGTTCAATGGTTTGGTTTTTTAATGGTATCAAAGCTACTGCCACCATGTTTGTACAACCAGTGTAATGAATATTAGTAACTCACAGGACTGCCTTTTGCGCCAGGGTTTCCACTTGTACCTGGAGGACCAGGAAGACCACGGCCTCCTGGCAGACCAGGAGCACCAGGAATACCAGAAGGTCCCTGCAGAGAGTGAACAGCAGATAGGGATGAAGAAAGTACAGCATTGGTGGGCTCTACCCAGTCCAAACAGTGACCCTCACCAACACAGTGCAACAAGACAGTGATATGACCAGTACGCACCATTTCACCCTTGTTGCCAGGGCTTCCAGGCCTTCCAGCAGGGCCCTGGGAAAAGAAATGTATAAATAAGCAATGCTGCTAACCTAGGACTAAACCAAAGGGCATGTGGGGCTTTGTGAAGAGCAAGTGACACAACACCTCTCACATCCCGTGTGGTATTTATGTACCTGAGGTCCAGGTGGCCCAGCATGACCCTGAGGACCAGGTTCTCCTCTCTCTCCAGGACTACCACTAGAACCAGCAGGACCAGGAGGACCAGCTTCACCCTATAGAAAAAATGTAAAAGGCGAAAATGAATGAATTTTAGTCTTGTCTCCAGGGCAATGAGTATTAGCTTAATGGTTTCTTCCTCTACTGTGGCATCTTTGTGTGCTTTGGGAAGAAGGTTACCACCATGAGCAAGAGACAATGTCCCCAGTGCTGAGGCATGAGGAATGCATGTGCTCCAGGCAGTACATGCTGCACAGCTGCTCTGACTCAAGTCCCTCTCATAACACCACATAGAGCATGGGGCCTACCACTTAGTGGTGTTTTGGGCGAAGATGATGAGGATAGGGTTTGTCTTGTGCTGCATATGAAAACATATCAGTTCTAGGCTTGCAAACAGTGTGATAGCAGCCAGAAAAAGGAGGACTTGTAAAATAGTGATGAACAGTGACATGAGCTGTGTGAGTAGAGAAAGGACCAAATCCCATTTAATTATGCATCTTTAGCTGAATACCTTAAAACCTGGAGAGCCTGGAAATCCTGCAGTTCCAGGAGGGCCTGGGGGACCCTTAAAAGGAAAAGAAATACTATAAATGCAAAAGGTAATGTAATTAATCTTAAGTTAAAAAAAAGTCTGATCATGGGACTTTTCTCTGAGTAAGGAAACACCTGGCAAAATAGCAAATATAAATTATGCTGTAGAAGATGAAGTTTGGCTAGTCCTAAAATATCACACCTACATCTAAGCTACCTGGACTTTTACATGTTCAGCTAAATTTCCATGTTGCAAATTTCAAAAATGGAATCTATCCTTAAGGAGATTAAGTTATAAAAATGTTCACAGTCTGTTCTAATTATAAAAAGGTGTAGGAGGGGGAAAAATAGGCCACATAAAGTGGATGTGCTCAGGTTTCCAGGCAGATGGGAAAGAAGAGGTTTAGCCCACCTCAGACAGCTAAATAATAGTTTAGTAAGACCATTCACAATTTGATCTGCATAGAGTACAGCAATTCTATTCATCCATATGTTCTCTGAAAATAATCTGCTTTGGGATTTTTGCATTTCCTGATTTACACAGTTAAATCTCTCCTATTGCTTTGTATGCTCTAAGAATCTTATCCAACATAGATATGAAATCGAATTGAATAAAATGCTCTTTTTTAAACCAGTGCACTCCCAGTTTTGGGTTTGCTGGCACTGCAGGACACCAGCTGGAAGTAACTAGACTTTAGCAACACAAATGCTTAGAGTCAAACATCTGTAAGTCATCTTACAGGTGGGCCTGCTGCTCCTGGAGATCCGTCTTTGCCATGGGCACCCTGCAAGAAGAAGAGAGGTGTTGAGCACTACCCTGGGTACAGAACCCACATGCTTTCATGTCCATGACTGTGAGACCATATTCCTGTGTCTCTACGTTCCCACTTCATTGACCAAGACCCAAGGAATCCTCAACTGTGTAATTCTAAAGTAATAATTAGTTATTTTGTGAAGGAATATCCAACACTTTATGAGACTTGTACTGTAATGATGAGACAGAATGATGTAAAGATGTATTCTTATTACATAAAGAAATAACAAAGTGTTGTCTGTGTGAATTAGTAAGATTGCAATAGATGGATATTTCAAAGTAACAGCTGTTCCTAATTCATATAAAAGACTAAAATTTCACTCCAAAAACCTAACCAAACAGTGCTGTGATTTAAACCCTGTTGCTTGTCTTGTAGACCAGGCTCTGTGCTCAGGTTATCTAGTGTTTGTACAAACAAGTTGCTGGTTATTATAGTTTAAGTGTGCTTTGTTGATTGCGTTGAATGCTATGAATTACGAATTCCTTCAGAGCAAAGAATGTAGCCCCTAATCTCAGTCAAAGAGTGATTTTATCTTTTTTCCACAAGTTACTTTTTCCTCTCTCTGCCCTCTCCTGCTGCCCTTTGCTTCCACTCCTCCTTCCTGCTCCTATTGGCTGAATCTGAGCTTGTGCTGAAACTCAGAACTGTGCCTCAATGTGTAATTGATACATTTAAAAAAAGGAAAAAGAAGATAAGGTGGTGAACACATTATTGATACATTTAAAAAAAGGAAAAAGAGGATAAGGTTGTGAACACATCGTGAATTAGATGTGCTATGTCTTTAACTGGGGACTGAAAAGTTCTCATGTATGATTTTACAGATGCTATATAGTTTTTTAATCCTCTTTAAAATCCTTTTAATCCTTTAATAATTTTAATTACAACTGTTGTAAGGAAAGCGATGAAATAGGGAATTCTGAGCATATTGAATCCAAATATGTGCTGTCTCTGGTAAGAACAATGGCTGCAGTTACGTACAGGGCCGCCGGGATTCCCAGGTCTTCCTCTTTCACCAGCTGGACCTCTTGGTCCCTAGAAAACATGAAAAGGAGTCAGTTAAATGGCTTCCAAAATAATATGGCTGAGCAAAGAGACGTTGATCTTATTTGCATATCTCAGTACTGATCAATGCATATGGTGGGGTAAGTGAAGTTAAGAGAATGATGAGTGACACTACAGGATGCATATATTTACCGGTTGGCCTGGTGATCCATTTGCTCCAGGAAGACCAGTTTCACCCTGTTATGGAAAGAAAACACCAATGACTGAATAAACTTTGCTGAGAAGATGTTTTTGGTTTAATCAATGGGAAGAGACACAGAAACAAGACAGTCTAATCCATTGCTGCTTTCTGCGTGGTGCTGAGTGTCCTCGTCATGAATTGACGCCTGCGAGGTCTAAACAGGTGCCAAAACAAAATATTAAACAGGAAAAAATCAGAAAGACTTAGTCTTTAAAATATTATGCAATGAAGTCAGATGACCCAGCCGTGTCCTGCATTTTGAAATCTCATGTTTATTATGGCTAGAAAATTGGGACATGATGTGGTTCAGAAAGTCTAACTCCTCTGGAATAATTCTTATTGTTTTCATGGAGATATTAAATGGATCTCTTTAATGTTTACTGGATTTTTATAACTGTGTAAGATGCAAAGACAGTTATACAACAAATAATGGAAGTCATCACCTATTACAAAGATGACACTACAGTTTTTACCTTTGGACCAGGAGCACCGCTGTCACCTTTGGCACCATCTTTTCCATCAAAACCCTGTGGGAAAGGAAAACCATATCTGTGGGTAGTATTCCTCCTGCATTCTGTAAAACTTGATGCCTCTTGGCAAATATTAAGCACCCAAAAAGGGGTATATTTTCAATAATGAGTGCTATCAGCTGCTGGAGTACTATATGAACAACAATTATGAATCCTACATCTCTCCATGGCAGTTAGTTAAGAGTGGAAGATTTCCTGGAAAGCTGCAGCCCAGAGTTTGGGATGAAATGTAAGTCTTTGTTTCAGAAGGTCAGATTACCTTATTCAGAAATTTGCCTTTAATTCTATGATTCAGTCTCTTTGAACTAATGACTGAAAGAGCACAACTGTGCAACACCATCATTCAACCAGAGTAACAGGCTTAGCTATACTCAATACTTACTCGTTGACCCTTCATCCCAGGCATCCCAGGCATCCCAGGGTGTCCCTTGTGACCCTAAACACATAAACATAGAAAGATTAATAAATCATGAACTTATGGTATGAAGGGCAGAAGCCAGTGTACACTGTGTGTCATGTTCACTGGACTACCTTGAAATGGACAAACAAAACCTTTGATTAGTAGGCTGTTGTTACTGGGGGCTTTTCCATACCGGTAATCCAGGCAGTCCACGCTCTCCATTTCTGCCTGGTCTCCCGGGTTCTCCCTGTTGAAGGAAAGGAAACTTTTTTAATGTTTTGCTATTGCTTTAGTTATTGACAAAGCACCAATTCTAGTAGATCAAGATGAGTCAGAATAAGCAGGTGAAACTTCTACCTAGGACAGTGGGGAAGGTCGCATAGCAATGACAGTTCACTACATGACTGCCTGCTGGAAAACAATTTATAACAAGATTTTAGTTAAGTGATTTCCAGCTAACCTTTAGAAATACATGCTTCCAGAAAATTTTTTTCATGGTAAAACACTCAAAATGGACAAAACCTTTAGCTGTTTGTCTTGCTTGTCAGCTGTGATACAGAAGATGATGCCAATGGCTGTGTCTCTCAAAGTGAGAGTTAAAGGGAGCAGAAAACTACCACTACTGTCTGGTTTTCTTTATAACTGCAACTTTATTTTGCACCAGATCAAAATAGTGTATTAAACTTTTTTGGAATGTACAACCAGAGTTAATGTAAGCCAAATCTAGTTTCTTACAGTCAGATGGGAAAATGGGAAGAAATTAAAAATTCTTAGATGGCATCAGAATGTGCTCTGCTGTTTTACCATTTAATGAACTTTTTTCCCCTTCCCATTTATTAATAACTGGATGAGTAACAGTGAACTTACGTCTTTTCCTGGTGGACCAACTGGGCCTACTATTCCAGCAGGGCCTGGAGGACCCTGTAGAAAAAAACCAACCAATATTAATTGCAATTGCAAAAAATATTAAGTCTCTTTCAAACTAAAAATGCTTTAGGCATCATAAAATACTTGTACATTTGACATACATCATAGCAAACAGATAGAATGAACTGTAAAATTTCAATCTACTCCAGTGTTGACACATATTCACCCTTGTAAGATCATTAACATTAACAGTGATACAAAATGCATACATACAGGAGGGCCTGGTTGTCCTGGTTCTCCAGGGGAGCCTTGGTATCCAGTAGAACCCTATAATGCAGGAAAAAAGGGAGTTAAGATGTGAACAATTACATGCCCCATTTCGTGGTGCTGTTATATTTTATAATCTCATAGTTGTAAGGAGAACTGTCAACAAATGACCAAAGATGAAATCAGCAGAACCAAGCAGAGGATGCCTCCAAGAAAAAGACTTACAACAACTCCTCTAAAAGGCAATGGATGCCAAAAACAGCCCCTTCATGTGTTTGCTGAAGGGGTATTAGTATTCCCACTTTTCTTTACCTCCTGTTAAATTTTTGTACAGATAAACATTTGGGAAAGCTAACAGGATGCCAGGCAGTGGCATGTCTTAAAACAACCTTAGCTGATACCCCACAGAATTGCAGAAAGCTTGGGGGAACACACAGACTTAGGCATAGTACATAGCCCTCAGCTCTTCAGTCTTGGTGATACATAGATGGTGCAGCCCAAGATGACATTTAGCCATAAGATTCTTCCGCATAGTATCGAGATTTATCACTAGAAAAGATAATATTTATGATAGAGAATAGTCTCATATAAAATAATATGGGATGATTATGAAAAGATTAATTTTACTTACAGGGGGACCCGCATGACCAGGTGGGCCAGGGGGGCCACTGGGGCCAGGAGGGCCTGGAAAGCCACTCTGTAGTGTAGATAAAAAAATAGCAATTACGTTAATGTAATAGAGCTACAAAGCTTAATGCAGTTGCAATAGTCATCAATAACTGTGAAACAAATTTTTACATATTAGTACAGAGGAAAAAAGATCACAGTGCAGTGAATCACTTGGTTCAGTAATAAAAAGGAAGCAGCATTATATATTCACATTGCTAAATAAACAAGTTGTGTAATACCTACAGCCCCTTCAGAAAAGGGTTCACTGGGTTTCTCCTTGCAGGCTTAACTAACATACTCCACAAGATTCTCAAAGCTGCAATTTTTCCTTTTTGAGTCACTATTGCCCATCTAGACCCCCAGAAGGATGTACTCATTTCAGCTTCTCAGCTACCTGAAGTGGAGGAGCAGATAACTGGAACTCTAAATTTGTTAAACAGAGTAAAGGAGCTTCAGCTTCTCTGCCTTGTAACTGAGCTTTATTAACCTATCACTACATCTTCAGTGGGAGAGCCAAAGTGGACTAATCCGCTTACTAATCCATTGGTGCTGGATTTTGCTTTCTAAAACAAATTATCTATTTTCTTCCCTGCACTTAGGAGCAATATCACATAGACATGTGAAAACATTGGAAGAAATTTTGATGATAAACTCTGTTTATGACCCTAGACTTCTCAAGTATAATGAATTAAGAATGCATTTTTGTCATTGTCAATAAGGGGAGTATTTTCACCAGTGAAACCTTTTCTGAACTGTAACAGTACTAAGCCATAAGAAAGAAATGAGGTCTGGACTAACCAGAACCTCACTATTTCTACTTCTTGTAGCAACAACCACAAAAGCATTTGTTTCTGCAAACCAGAAAATGACAGCACAGTCTACTGCAGCTGTATGTGGTTCTTTACAAAGAGCTTTTGTTAAATTAAACTCTTCCTGTGTTTCATATAGGCAAAAGAATTACATATATGAATTACATGAGAACCACAGCATATTCCATAGTTCAATAGTGCACAAAATTCAAATGGAATATTGTCATATTTTGTCAGAACAGGTCATGTATTACAGATGTTATACATTACAGATTGCCTTTTGCCTAAAAAAGGTTAATCATTGTAACATTTGCTATTTTCTAGGAGAAGAAGTACAGCAAGTGGCAAAGCAGTTAGGGTCTGGGTAAATGGGTTTGCCTTCCAGTAAGCAGCCCCTTGCTGTTAATTGTTAGAACTCATTTTGTATAAGGTAACTATAGATTCAACATGAATCAGAGCCATCAGCACATCAATAGCAACCAATTGATTACACATATGGCTATAAACAAACAAGTTAATATTTTTTCAAGGCATACACTGGTGAGATAAACTGCTAGTTAGGGGTGACGTGCTTGCTGCCAGTATCTCCAGACTGTGAACAAATTTCAGTTAGACACTGGTGAGAAGAGACTAAGACAATATGTGGAGGTTGTACGACCTAGTAAAGACAAACTGTGATGTAAAGCATAAATTCAGTCTATAAACAGTGGAAAGCCATGGGAAGGCAGCTATGAAGAGATGTGTGATTGAGGAAATACCAGGCCAGGTAACCACCCATGAATGAATGTTGGTGTTTTAGTTCTTAGTTTTATTAATCTTCCAAATTATTTCAGTTTGGATATTTATTCAAACTGAAGTTTTAAGTTGAAAACGGATAAATTTATAAAACAATAAAGCAATTAATCTATGTAATGCTAATTATAAACATTTTGTTCTAGTGATTTCAGTCACATCTGCCTGTAACTGCAGTCACGTATGGCATGATGCAATATAAAAGACCTGAAAGTACACAGACAATCTTGAAGACATTCTAGAGTGCCCAATAAGGTAGTTTTGTGGGGTTTTTTTAACCCATGTCCAGGGGTCAGAGCACAAGAAATTTTCTGCCTGGTTCAGCACATCCCATATTAAGACACCAAGTAGCAAAATGCAGATGATATGACAAGCTGTGGGCAAAACCTGTGAGGAGATGAATATGAATACATGAATAAACAAATACAAAAAACAATGCTTGGAGAAGACCAATACATGGTCATATCAGCAAACAAAGGAGATGGAAATAAACAGATTAAAATAAAGGCGAGAACATAATGAATTGTATTTCAGGAAAGACAGCTGTCATGATTAGTAAACTACTTCACAAGATGGTCTGATGGAACTATGAGAAATAACATATTTGCTTGGAACTACCTTGATATGTTACAGCATGTGATAACCAAGTCTTATTATGCAGAACTGGACTGAAAATAACAATTATGGTTAATGAAGCAGCTGCCAATTTCAAATAAAAGCAATTCACCACTTCCTCTGTATAGCAAACTGCCTGAATCAAGAATGCTTCATGGTGAGTATCTCTAAATCCCAGTGCCTAAAAGGAAAATCATGATGTGCAACATTCATATTTATTTATACAGGAAGCTTAGCTCAGTAGTAACTTCTTCAGGCAATCCATGCTTTTTTTCACTAAAAAAACTGTGGAAAACTCGGGTCAGGCCTAGCAGGCAGACACACCATCCTTAATACACAGTTTGAATAGCTGTAGGTAAAGAAATGGTAATCGTAAAAAGAAAAAGTGAAAATATTTTGACTTCTAGCATGAAAAACAATGGTTATAAGAAGGATTTACTCACTGGTTATCAAGCAAATTGTGGAAAAGTAAACACGTATGGAGTGAGTATCATACTGAGTAAAGACAGAATGATACTGAATGGGTAAAGATTAAGGGCAGTGGAAGAAGTAAAAAAGTGGTGGAAGGAAGGGTAGCAAGTAGCAGAAGAATGTCAATCAGAAAAATGAGGAACATACCTAAGGGAGAAAGAGGTAAATGTTTAGGTAGCATAAGAAAGTATTTACAGTATTTAACTTGCAGGCAATAATTAAATGAAAACCTATATTGTTAAACTAAAATCATGACACATACACATCCAAGGTATAATCTACAAGCAGAAAATTTGTTCTTTAACAAAAAAGAAAGGGCAGAAAAAGGCTATGTCATCTTACAATTTGTGCTGGGTACACCATACCAACTGAACCAGCCTTCACGTCATAGGATTCATACTGTGGAGAGAAAGCCTGTGAAAGAAATAGAGAGAAACAGAAAGGAAAAAAAAAAGAAAATATATGCGATTGCTATGAATCAAGTCAAGTCCTCTCTTACATTGGTATCTACTGAGTAGTGCTTGTTTGACATACAGCTACCATATATTTCAATCATCCTTAAGAGAAGCACAGGCAATGTCTTCCTTCTGAGGTCATGGTAATGTTAGCTCCCCAGGCTGTGCGCATTCAGTTTTCATCTTGACAACTGGGGCTCAGCTGAACCAAAAAATTACTGTTCTATCTCCTTTTATTCTTGTTTGGCTCCTTTTAAGCTTCTTCCCCTATTTTCTTTGTCAGTCTCTTTTCTGTTGGACTTAGTTGTCACTCTAGGATGTTGATGAAATATTCTCTGTTGCACTAAAGAATGCAACTATTTATTATTATTTTAATGATTTCTATTACCTGTGACTAATGAATGACTCATTTCACATTAACAGACTTAGTTAAATGATATGGTATTAATGCAGTTAAGCCCTAACAGCGATTTCACATTAACAGACTTAGTTAAATGCAGTTAAGCCCTAACAGCACATAGGTGGTTGAGCAGGAAGGGTTGAATACCTGCAGTGCTGTGCCTGATATCCTGAACCACTGTGGGCCCAGCTCCTATGCTGACGTGGTACAACCCTTGAGTCAGGATTCAACAGCACATCTTTGATACAGTGTTGGAATGGATGACTATTTCAGTCTATTATCCTCTCCTGTGTCTGCATCTGCCAACCCCAAACCACTAGGTCTCTTGCTACTACTCTGATGTCCATGGAGACTTGTTAACTGATCCATGGGGACCTCCCCCAGAAGCTCAGTCCTGCAGATGCAATGCCTTTCAGAATTAAAGAAAAACAAGACCTCTGTCTCAGTTTCTGGCTTACCTGGGGGTGGGAAGCATACATAGCAGTTTGAATCAGTGGCCTATATTCAAAAGCAGCAATTGCTTTAACAAGACTTTTATCAGCTTTGTGCTAAAGAAATCTCATCTGGTAAATCTGGTTGATTGCATGGGAGACAATGTCACTGCCTGGGGCTCAGCTCCCAGAACAAATCCAACTGTACAGAAACTTTAGTTACAATTAGCTCTCTTGCTGAGTCTGCCCAGCTCTTCAGAAATGAATTCAAAATTCAGTGGTCCAGAAATAAAGAGGGAACACAGCAAATAGTACTTGCCTGGCACTTCTCTGCCAGCAGAAGACATGTGTTTCAGTCTAGTCTCATGGGAATGTTTCATTATTAAACATACGTTCCATAAAATATAGGAAAGTAGGAGAGTTCCTTAATCATTAAGCTTAAAAAGACATACTTCCTCCTACACTCTCCTTCTGGTCAGACTATTTCTGAGCTGCATAAGTCCTTCAACAGATCTGTCTCTAAAAGTTTTGAAAAATAAGGCAGAGATTTAACTGCACTCCAGGCAAATTGCATGGACAAACCTCCAAAACAACAAGAAAACTCCACCTACCACTCAACTGTAATTTTCAAAGGCACAAATGAGAGATGGAGGCCAGTGAAAGCAAAGCACCTACGAAGGTGCAAGGGACAGGTGCCTGCAGTATTGATTTGTCTGCTTATGGGCAACAAGGGAGAAGTTGAACATAACGATGACTTACGCCTCCACTTACACTGGGACAGTTCTGGCAGATCCCGGGGGACCCAGGAGCTCCAGGACTCCCTGGCTGTCCTGGTGGGCCAGGGGGACCACTACTGCCTGGAGCCCCAGGAGGACCCTGCAAAGACACAAACAGAGCACATACAGATGTTGGCACTCACCTCCAACTGTCAGGGCATTGCAGGACAAATCTGTCCATTCAGAGCAGTCTGTGTGGCTGTGGCAGGAAACCTCTGTTAAACACAGTGGCACAACCAAACATTCAAGAAAGACACAGGAGACAAAATTCACACACGGAAACACTTTTTAGTTGCTGGAGCCTTATTGCAAATTGATATTTGATCAAACACACTAGAAATATTAAACATTCAATTCATGAATATAAAGTTAATACTGCTAGTGGAGTCCATAGCTTATTTTTTTCCTACTAGGAGTACACTTAGGACTAAACTCTCTCTCTCTCTCTCTCTTCGTTCTTCCAGTTTAAATTTTTGAGAGTTTTGTTGAAGCTAAAGGGCTACTTAAAATAACCTGGTAGAGTCCTGCACACAGTGCAGATGTCAATGAAAGCTGAGTATCTTATCAGCTTGAATGGGATATATATCACTGCAGGAATTCGGTCTTGATTCTGCTGTTTCCATAGAAAAGAAAGCTGCACTTACAGGGTCTCCTTTGGGGCCTCGACTGATTACTTCAGGAGTCTAGAAAGAAAGGAAAAGTAATTACATTAAAAAAGAGAATCAAAATAAAGCAATAATAAGCTGTGGAGTTTTTGGTCAGTCTGTCTGCATTTTCTTGACTCACCCATGGCACTAATGAAGCCAGTAGAGCCTTGCCATTGAGTACAATGGAGACTGAATTCCACTGTGCAATGCTGTAAGGGAGAGCTTTCTTGCATCCTGCCCATATCCAGCATGTTAAGTGTGATTATGTAGCTAATTTTAAATTCTCAGATTTACTGCTCCAACATACTTATTTTTCAATTAATAATTCATTCAGTTTCACATTTTGTTTTCTATCCTTGGCTGCTAGTGGTAGCAAAGAATACTCAGCTGAAACTATCTTGAACCTTTCAAAGTGGTGTCTCCCTGTACACCATCCATGGTTAGCAAACCAGCTTCCAATGGGCTGACCAAACTCATATATATGTGTGTGTGTAAAAGAGAGGCTGGGGGAAGTACCCCACATGTCCTTCATTATCAGGAACCCCAGAACTGATAAAATGAGTGTCTAGACACAGCAAGAGAGGGAGGTGTACTTAAATCTCCAGCAGGCTTGTATGTGCCACTCATTTATACCTCTCAAACTGTAAGTTAAGTAGCTCATGTAATCCTGGAAGCAGCACAGTCATACTAGTGTGGTGCAAATAACACTAGGTGACATATTTGTGTATGACATTTCATGTTTAAGCAGATATACTACAGAGCTGCAGAAATGCGTCTTCTCTCTTTCATATCCACATCTCTTTCTTATAGTCTAGATAATAATCTTCAATGTGTTTGTGGTGGTTTATATACTTTAAGAGAACTTCATGGATCTTAAACATGGATGAAATGTTCAGATATCCTTGGAGTTCAGTGTAACTGGCTCACTCACAGAAGGGGTTAGGCAGGAGACTTGGCATGTATTAACACTCTTGATTTTCCTGAGGTTAAGTTGCTGCAAGTGGTTTGTGTAAAGCTGATGCCTATAAGCAAGGTGATGATAAATTAGTGAAGTACAGCTTGAATCACCTTTTCTTTATAGGGCACTAAGTCAGCAATAAGTCTGCAAAGGAGATTTACTCTGTAAAACTGATGTAGAACTGAATGGGTAAGAAATGCAGACTTGCAAAATGCTGTGAAAATTCTCTTTCTTTGACTCTATGTTGGCACTAGTTTCATGGCTATAGATTGAGCATGCAGTCAACAAATAAGGTGTTTGCCTTATTCCTATGCTTCTTCATAAAATAAAAAAATGTAATGGCTAATTGTTGCCCTCTGTCCCTTTCTACTATTTATCTGTGCCTGTTATCTATGCAGAACTGAGCTGAAAGACTTAATGTTTTAAGCTGCATAACCCAAAATACTAAGGAGTATTTTATCTGAACTGGTACCAATTCTCTGTTAGAGTACAGAACTATTCTTATATTACACAAAAAAAATGATACAGCTCTGTGAATGTTCAAGCCGTTTTTTGAATTTGATTTCGCAAAATTTGCTCATCCTAAGCATCTGCCTAAAGTCAGAGAGTGGCATTTAAAAGTGTCTAAGATCTTCTAAAACCAGACTGCATTGAGGCTGACATGGATCAAGAAGGCAGCAACACCAAAGAAACAACATTGGGAATAAACTTACTCTTGGAGGTGCTGTTGTTGTCGGTGGACAAACTGGACAGCACTCCCCAAAAGGAATCTCCGGGTTGGGGCAATCCAGCTCTTGATCATCACAGATGATGTCATCACAGAGAACAGACCCTGAGTCGCACACACAGATCTGGCATGGCTCTGGTTTCCAAACGTCCCTGTCAGCATAAGCCTGCCCAAGATGAGTACATCCTGTGACTGCAAAGAAAGACAAAATAGTGTTAAATGTGATTTCAAAGGTGTTTTTCAAATCAAAGATGAATAACATGAAAAGTCTTGGATAGATTGTTTTGTTTTCTGCTCTCATATAGTTCATGCATGTGAAGCAAAAGGCTAAATACAGACAGTGGGAGGATCTGTTACATTTATTGTAGAGTCTGCTCTGAAGCTATAAACAGACATCAATGGAAACCTCCTGGAGCTGTTCCAAAGCCCAATTAAATCTGTGATAATCTTCCCTCTCGAGTAATTTCAGTGTCAGACTGAGTTACTGTGTAATTAGCAACTGAATTCTCTACTGCAGCTAAAAAGCAAACGTGCCAAACCTCTCCAACAAGTGTATCATTTGCCCTCATGTGCAAAGGAGAGCTCTTGCACATGGATGTGGAATAAGCCATCTGTCCAGCACAAACTCTTGTCACTAGCATCTTGCATTAATAGCTAGCACCAAGGGTTTTCAAAGTGGTTTTCGAAAGCCAACATATGTAACACATCTGAAAGAATGTTCACATTAATTGCCCAAATGGTTTGCAGTGATTGTGCCATCTGGCCTACTCAAATGTAACAAGTGGCTGTATTTTCAGAAAAAACACTGTTCATCTGTAATATTTATGGCTCTGTGGATTCCTTTCAACAGCTGTTTTACTAATCAAACGTGTTGTAGATAATGAATTTTAAAAGCCTGACAAAAACCAGCTTCAAACATCAAATGTTGGGTTTGTATGTTCTTAGACAAACATGATCCAGAAACCCAGGCCACTTAAGAAACCAAGATGAAAACTACACTACAAAATTTTACAAGTTCCTTGTAAGTTTTGTAGAACTTATTAGAAGTCTCATATTACAAATAAAAATATCAGTGAATGTCTTATTAGAATAACATTTTTTCCAAGAATAATTAATCTTACAAAAAAATTCTGCAGCAAGATCTATTTGTGCAGCTACATCTTTCTTAAAACTTTAAAATTAGAATAATTTACCTTCTATACACTACCATTCAACATGAAAAACAAAATGCCAAAAGATGTAATTCAAAGCTCTGGCATTAAAATTACCACTGGCTCCAGGCAGGAAATTCTGAATGCCATAATTCTGTAGTGCAGTCCTTCCTATGGATTATGCAGTCCCTTTCCTTTTTCCTCCCTGCAGCTTTCACCTCTGTTTTTCCTCTTTTCCACTGCTGCCTTAGCACACTGGTCTCTTTTATGATTTTTTTTACCTCTTTACATTCTTTGTTTTTCTTTCCCTCTGTATTTGTGGGTGTCTGTTCCCATATCCACTTCCATGTTCTTCGGCAAGGTACACACTTACAAGAGTGTAGAAGAATTCCTCTCTTCTCATGCTTCTTCTGTGTTTCATCTTTCCCATAACATGCAACTTCCCTTTCCATCTTCCACAAACCGTCTTTTATTTTGTACCTGAACAGTTCACCTTCTTTGTTGCCATGTACTCCACTGAGCTTAGGTTTCCCGTGCTCCCTTCACAGTGTCTCACTCAGCTGCTTTTCCTTGTTCGTACTAACCTTTTCCCCCTATTTCATCCATGAAATTCAACACCTCCTTGTATGAGCTCTGGAAGGGCAACGGGGAATACAATCAAGACATGATGCCTCACTGGGTGGAGAACCAGAGTGGGATCTTGGAGCAGATCACTGCATGGGACAGGGTTTTTTTTCCCAATTCTAACCCTATTATGGGCTTTCTTTGCACACCAACTTAGGTTATTTTTGCACTTCAATTGTAAAAGAAGCAAACAGGAAAACGTTGGCTTGTCAAGGCTGACACTACTTATGGTTAAGAGTTGATTTCGACCAGAAGCTTGATTAGAACAACAAGACACAACAAGCATCAAAAACTCCTTTCAGACGTTTTTGAGCCTATATTTTTATTTCTTTACTGCTATCAAGAGCAAGTGGTTTTTCTTTCGCTGACAACATGAAAGTCTTAAAATCAAACACATTCCAACAGCATATGTCAACTCCTCCCCCCCAGACATTCTCTATCACTTAAAAAATAATTTCTTCCTTTCCTACCCCTTTTGGGCCTCACAAGAATCTTCACATTGTGCACAAGAGAGATGGAGAAGAACTGCTCATTTTCAGGACAGCATCTTCCTTGCACCTGCATGACACTGAGTCATGGCATCAGAGGGTGCTGTTTCAAAGGACACCCCCAAACAATGACTACTTTCGAAGAGGATCTGGACATCCTTCCTTAGTGTGCAAAACTAGATATAGTTTCTAAAAGAATTTCTTGGCTTCTCAGTTCTCACACCACATACCCATGTCCGTGAATCCCAGGGAAATAAGCTGATTAATTGCTTAGTTCAGTGCTGACTGTTTCTATAAGAAATATTTCCCCCCTTTTCACAAATCAGGATATCACTGTGGGCACTAGGGAAAAAACAAACTGCCCAGCCTTGATAAGACTAATGATGAAAGCTTCTTGACAAATAAGAAGGCTGAAATTTATTTTATAAATAAGAAGTGCAGCATAATGAATGAAATCCTTATAGTATTTCTGGTGACTCATGAAAAAGACCTGAATTATGCAGTCAAAGGCTGAGTAGCTCAGTGTACAAGTGGCTTGCTGTACACAGGAAGACCTCAGAAGCTGTATGCTGTGGGAGATAGAGTGCCATCAAAGCTACAGGGGGTGGGGGGGAGTAGAGCTTGCTGTCCATTTCGAAGGAGCTGGTTGGATACACCCTAGAGAGCACAGATGGGCACAGATCTGATTCATTCCAGAGCAATGCACTCAGCTGTGGCTCTGCTTAAGCACCTCCCAGCTCCAAAGGTTAAAACATGCACTCAGCTGTGGCTCTGCTTAAGCACTTCCCAGCTCCAGAGGTTAAAACACCCTTTTCACTCACAAACATAACGAGGAAGGGGAGAAATTATTGTTCTTTAGTTAAGGACAAGTTTAGATGTAATTGTTAAATAAAAATATCACAATAGGGATCTAAGTTACTGTTTGCACATGCAATATAGGAATTGCATACACTTAGAAGACAAGTCTTAGTGTACACACTTTTCTGTACCTATTAGGTGTTTGATTACTTTTACTATTCAGATTTTCAGCTCTCAGTATCACTTTCTTGACCTTTCAAAACCACATTTTTTTTAAACTGTGTGTTTAAGACAGCAAGGTCCTTATTCACTAGGAAATTTGTGTCTAAGGATTTGCACTTTCACATGTCAAATTTTTTTTTTAGCCTTACTTCATTTTCATTGAGTTTTTTTTCATTTTGTTATTGTCAGAGATGTGATCCTTTTGCCTTACAGTGAAGAGGACAGCCCAGATGGGGAGTAGAAAAAGGCCATTTTTCCATATTTTTGCACTGCTGATGAGGAAAGGTTCTGTTTTCAAGACAGATGCAGAGGCTTTTCTCAGTGACCAATTTTTCACCATATTTTTGTCAACAATATTAATGACAATTATAGAAATTAAAAATGTGTCAAGACAACTGATACAATTTTATAGTACTAAGGAAATAAAGCAGATTCCTCTGCACTTTTACAAGGCTGTCATTCAGGTGTACTACAGTAGATGGCATCATTTAATAGAAAGAAGACAAAAGTCATGGACATATGGATATAATGACATTAATATTTGCTTCTAACTTTCTGGACCTTGTTAAATGAATTAAGAAATAAACTAGGAGAGCTTCAACAAAAATTGCACAGTCTTTGGCAGAATGAAAGTATTAAATAGGTTTCCAAATGAAACTTACATCTGGGAAGTCTTAATCTGCTAAAGACACCCCCTCTGTGCTCAGATGTAGATCTGTGTGTCAGAATGTCATGACATAATGCATCTTGATTGCTCAAAAAGATTAACCATTAGCTCCAGAATGCCTTGGAAAGCTGATTTGTGCTAAAGCTCTGGTGAGTAACACATAGGAATAATAATGTTACAAAAAGCTGACTTCTCTACTTCTAGGCTTGTGGCATAACAAGTCACATACTCACCTTAGCCAGCTTTTGTTATTGATTCCTAAACATATGCATTAGTCTAAGATTTAAAAAATAGTAGAACTTGACGGTATTTTGCTATGGTAATGCACAGTCGTACTCTGCTTCCCAAAGCCCTAAATATGGTGGATACACTGCACTTAACTCCTGCAGCACTGCAGTGGTTTCTTAGAAGCTCTGTCAATCTCTAGTGCACTGTAAAAAAAGTTTCATATATGAAGGCCTGAATAACTTTGCTTTTATGCCATTTACTGAGCATTCATGTTTGTAAAGATTTTGCTGTGAGTAGCACTTCCTTGGGTCAGCCTAAAAAGTGACTGAAAGAAAAAAATGCAACAGAATCTTTGCCATATACTGGTTTTGCATTATTTCCTCTTTTCTAAGCAGACTAGCAACTGCACATAAGCAAATAGTGAAAGCTGAAAGGAAAATCATCAGTTAATTCCAAATGACCTATGTGTACCAAATGTGTACAGGGGGAAACAAATATGTTTGTTGAAGGATGACAGATGTCATATGGGACATAATCCTGATCCCAGTGAGGTGAATGGGAACTGTTATCCTGTGCTATGAGGTGAGAAGCTGACTGATTATGTAGTTGGTTTTGGCTTTGCATTTGTGCAAGCACCGTGATCATGACTTAACCACATTTATAAGACAAAAGGAAAAAATCATCTAATAGTATCCTCAAAAACCACAGACGTTTCCACTTTGGACAAAGCAAATGCCCAGCTATTGCACTGGGAACAGACTCACATATCCCATCTGCAGAGATGTAACCAAATGGTTAGAATTTAAAGAACATCTTGAACTTGTCCAGTTCTGCCTCAGAAAATGCAATAGTCCACAAAAAGTTGATTCATGATCCTCCAGCAGCTGCTTGGTGATGACTTTGGGAAGCAAAGTTGTTGAGCATTGATCTGTGAGAATCTGATCACAAACACAATGAGGCAAAGAAACAGGTTTTGCTGTATTTAAAGTGAACCTGCTAAAGGCTAAAGTCCAAAATGAAGGAGGCCTTGCTGGATCCAAAGCCTGGTGAAGCTAAGAAGGGTCTTTCTGTTGCTTTTAAACTGCACACAGCCTGTGTTTCTTTACTCTGACCTAGTTTTTGTCATTTGCTTGACAGGATAACTACTTCAAAAATTGCTTTACATTTCTTCTGTAGTAAATACTTCTATTAATTGCATACTCCAGCACAGTTTGGTACATTATTTAACCAAAAGATAGAACAGCAAGGAGATATGTTGTCTATTTTCAATGGAAATGGCATCATTCTCCCCTGCACCGGAGTAGAGGGAAGGAATCATTTCCAGCATCTGCAGCAATGCAGATTTCCATTTACTGAGCAGAAAAGAATGCCACAGCGTCTACCTTGAAGCAAATGGTTTGGGCTCCCTGTCTGGTATTATGATGATGTTTATATGAAACCCAAACACACTCGTTCCATCCCGTCGTTAGTAATGGAAACAAACGGACTCTCATAATGAATGAATTGGCTTGCTGAGACAGAAGGGTCCCTCTGTGGGCATGTCCTCCTCCCGGGTAAGTGCTGAGTACTCCAAGAGTCTGAAATAGAGTCGAAAGAGGTGGAAACAGAGGAAAAGATATGGTTTAACAAGCTGGTGTTTTTTTAAAACTGCAAGGCCTTCAGACATTCCCTCAGCTGGAATTGTCTTAGAACAACCAGCTAATGAACTGAATCCATTTCACACATTGCATGAGGACATAGGGCTAATTCGGGCATCCCTACCTATTAGGACATTTTCAGGTTTAATGTGATATTTTGTAAGGCTTGCTCACCATGTGATTGGTGGTATCAGGAATGAAATCTCCATTTATAAAACAGGCTGTAAAAAATCAGAGAGGGTCAACCTTAAAAAACCTTTCCTGCTCCATGAGCTGTAGGAGGAAAAACTGCTATCAGGTGGAATGGAAAAGGAGTATTGATGAAGAGTACACAGAATTCCCAAGTTTACACACCTAAAAGGATGGCTACAACCTGTGCTTTCAGAATGAAGCTGAAGCTTTCCTACTTCTAGGGATGCTTGTCTGCCAAGAGAGCTGGTGTTTGGGCAGTTCTGCCATTGCACCAATCCCAGTTTTCCTCTTCTCTAAGATGAAGAGGAAAGTAGAGAAAGCTGTATGAAAGAATGCTGGTTAAGCATAATACTGTACTTGTCTGTCAGAGGTGTTGCAGAATGGAGTAATGCACTGTTTCACTGGCTATGTATGAAGAGGCAAAGGATCCTTATGTCATATAGCCAAACTGTCCTTGTTTCGAGGCCCACCCAGTCTGTATTTCAGGTTATAAAATAAGCTGAAACCAGGCTTGCACCAGTACAAACAAGTAGTTGCATGTTAAACAAATCATTCCTTGCTCTCTTCATGTGTCTTTAAATGCTCCAAATGCTGCAACCGTTCCGCAGTTTTGAAAAATTTTCAAAACAGCAGGATTAAAACATATCCTAAGTGTATTTGCTACTGAGCAAAACACAAAATGCTTCTATTTTCCTTGCAGGTTATTGGCTTTTTTCTAATCTTTCAAAGTGCAATTAAAGAACTCTAATTTTTCTGCTTAATCTTCTCAGGGTTGTTCTTCTATTCATAATGTGGTCTAAAGTAGCTGAATCTGTCACACTGTTCTGACTCAACATTTCTGTTTCACAAATTGCTCTGTTCAGGCACCCATGCTGACATCCTTGAGTGATATTCTTCGTAGAGCTTCTACAGTTCACCCTGCCACATCAGTGCTGCTAGAGAACAGTGACCAGTGATATCCCACCAGTGATGTCACACAACAGCCTCAATGGCCTCAGCTGGTGTTCAGCATGAGAATCAATGGCAGAAGAGGTTTCTTGTTTCAAAACTGCTAATGGGAAACCAAAGTGCAAGGTTTCTTTGGTATTTTAGTTGGTAGGGGGTGTTTTTGGCAGAACTGTCATTTCAGTCTGAGTCATGAAAGGGGCAGGATAGAGAAAACTGCTTATATCTATCGCCTTACCTTTTCTTTGTTGGACGTGGGAGGGGACAGAGTGACCAAAGATGAGGAAAAGGCTGAGGTACTTAACACCTTCTTTGCCTCAGTTTTTAGTACTAGGACAGGTTGGCCTCAGGAGAAGTGGCCTCAATAGCTGATAGACAAAGATAGGAAGCCAAATAACCACCCTGAAATCTGAGAGGAAATGGTTAGAGATCTGCTTATTTGACTCCTTGGACCCTCACAGACGTTTGGGACTGGATGGGATCCATCCCAGAGTGATGAGGGAGCTGGCGGATGAGTTCACCAAACCACTCTTCATCATTTACTG